CCCCCCCCAGGGGCACGGCACTGGGCTTTAAAATGGCCAGGCTTCCCACAATTAAAACAATTCCCTGTAGGTTTCATCCCTTTTTGTAATGCCATAGCCAAAGTCTCCATGTTGTAAGCCTGAGAACCCACCACTGCACATACCTTTAACAGATCAGCCAGAGTAACCTCACCTCTAGCCACCAAAGGCTGTAAGATACGCTTGCAGTCAGCGTTTGCATTTTCAACTGCCAATTTCAGCAAAAGTTCTTTTGCAGCTTCCTCATTAGAGATTTGCCTGGTAATAGCCAATTGTAGCCTTTCCACAAAATCGTTATAAGACTCAGATGCTGTTTGCTTAATTTGAGAAAAAGACCGTGCCGGGGTTCCCACATCCTGGATGCGTGACAACGCCCCAAGGACAGCTGCCATAACCACTGGAAATACGTGATCAGGCAAATTAGCAGCTTGATCAGCAGTGGATTCAAACAAGCCTGCCCCATAGATTTGGTCTGGCGTATACAGCCCCCCTGAATTCCTTCCCCTAGTGACAGCTTCCCTTTGATATTCTGAATCAAAAACCACATACTGAGTAGAGCTCAATATCATTCTCATTAAATCTTTCCAGTCACTAGGAATCATGCGTGAGGTAGCCAAACTTGTCAGGAGCCCCTTTGTAAAAGGACTTTGAATACCATAATCTTTAACTGCTTTTTTAATTTCCCTAAGAACTGCTAAAGGAATCGGAACCCATTCAGTCTGCAGATTGCCTTGAGCATCCACTTGCCTATTGACTGGAAACAAATTCATCTGGGGAATCTCATCAGGCTCTAATTTCCCCTCATTGAAAGCCTGATGCATCATTGCTTGAACTTTTCCCATTTTTGGTTGGATTTTCTCATCCACTGGAGTAGGCGCTGTTGGGGGTGAGGAAACATACTCCAGTTTTGGGGTTGGGGGGTGCAACACAACTCCTTTATAAGGAGGAGGTTCTACTAAAGTTTTTTAAAAAGGTTGTTGCTGGGTCTCTAAAGCAGTCATAACAACCTTCCAATATATCAAAATTTCAGCTGTTGCCCGTGGCTCTTCATGAAGGATAGTTCCAATTCTCCTCCACGTGTCTAACTTTAAAGATCCCTTCTCTGAATACCAGGGACATTGCTGCCAGATCTCTTGCAGCAGCTCTCTCACATTACCTTTTGAAAGAACTATTTGCTCCCCCCCAGAGGGTTTAAAGATAAAGAAGTTTGTCCTGACTAACTTCAGCAGCTCACTAACATGCCGTTCCTGTGGCTGAGGGAGTTTTCCCCCCATGTTCCCTGAAAAAATCCTATTGTCCAGCAATAGTTAAGTACGTACTTTACCTATTCCAGGCAAGGAAACACGGAGGTCCAGACACGTACCACCCACAGTGGATCATGTCGGGGTCACCACTTGTGGTGGTCTCCCATGGAAAGAATGAGACACAAGCGTGTGTACTCGGGATGGGAGTCTAGAGCAAATTCCAGTGCTCCCTTTTATTGAGAATTTTGTACATAGTAAGCATTCACATTGTGGATTACAATAATTAGATATAGTACACAGAATTGTTTACAGTTGTCTGAGCTGCTTAATTGTTTCTGGTGTTTGCTTTTAATTTCCTTGCTTTATCTCAGTGACCTTTAGGCAGACATGTATGTATAAGGTTTTAGAGTAATCATTATCCAATACCCAAATCAAGGTTTTATTCCCACAATTAACATGTTGGCTCTTTGTTTTACTAAATACACATCAGGATAAGGGGAGGGGTTTTAAACTCCCTTATATATCTCTGCATGCCTGAGAGACCTTAGACGCTGCTTTTGACCCCCTACATGAATTGTCTCATCTCAATAAAGGATTTCTTTTGATACATTTTCAGAAGTTCATTCTAGTTGATTGAAAGGGAAAAGTTCTGTAGCCTGACAGGCTGTCCTGTTGGGTTGCAAAACCAAACCAGACAGTTATAGAGGTGCAGATGATAGTCTCAACAATTCCTCTGTAGAACTGTATCAGCAGCTCCTTGGGCAGTTTGAGCTTTCTGAGTTGGTGCAGAAAGAACATTCTTTGTTGTGCTTTTTTGATGACATTTTTTATGTTAGGTGTCCATTTTAGGTCATGTGATATAGTAGAACCTAGAAATTTGAAGATCTCTTCTATTGTTACTGTGTTGTCTTGTATTGTAAGAAGTGGGTAAGAGAGGGTTTATTCTAAAGTCTACCACCATTTTTACAGTTTTGAGTGTGTTCAGTTCCAGATTGTTCCGGTCACTGTTGTGTCATCAGCAAACTTCAGTATTTTAACAGAAGGATAGTTTGAGATGCAGTCATTGCCTTGGGAAAACTCACTACAGGACAATTCAACAATTTTATTTAATTATTTAACATTATTTTAAAAAATATTTTAATTTTTGTCATTCACATTTCATTTTGTCTCTCCTTTTGCATTCTTTCTTTAATGATTCTATTTCATCATTTATTTGATATGATGTAATTTTAGTCCCATGGAAAGTTCTCTTTGGCAAGTTGGCTATGACAAATTTATACATGGCATACAAAACAGGCAAAGCTGATCATGGATTGATCAGTAGGAGTATCTAGCAAGCTCCAAATCATAACTAGATCTCCCAGTTTGATGATGCATCCATGTCATTAGAATCTTTCAAAAGGCAATCAATAGCAAGGAAATTGGAAGGAATATTAACTTCCATAAAATCCAAATCCTAGATTCATCATGAAAATGTCTATTTAATTGTTGTTTGAAGACCTCCAGTGAAGGAGGACTTACCAGTTTATATGAAAACCAATTCCACCACTAATAGCTTATATGGCTCAGGAATCTGATATCAGTATTGTGTTTAATGGGATTGAAGACCATTCAGAGGTCAAGAAAAGCAAGTTGGACATATTATCTCCATCAAGCTCCCATCAGACTTATTCACAAATATGATCAGTACAGTTTCAGTATCATAGCTAGGTCTGAAACCTGACTAGAAGGAATCCAGTTCTTCATTCAGAGTGCCTTGGCATCTCCTGATAACCCTTAGATAACCACAAGGGCAGTGGTGGGATTCAAATAATTTAACAAGTGGTTCTCTGCCCTGATGACTGTTTGGGCATGACTGTTTGGGCATGTGACTGGGTGGGCATGGCCAGCTTGATTGGTCTCACCCTTAGGAAATTTCTCCTTAGTCCAAAACACAATAAAATAGCACTGTTCTGATATTTAGAATAGAATAGAATAGAATAACAGAGTTGAAAAGGACCATGGAGGTGTTCTAGTCCAACTCCTTGCTTGGGCAGGAAATCCTACACCACTTCAGACAAATGGTTATCCAATCTCTTCTTTAAAACTTCCAGGGTTGGAGCATTTAAAACTTCTGGAGGCAAGTTGTTCCATTGATTAATTGTTATGTCAGGAAATTTGAGGGGGTCCAATAAAAATGAGGGAGTCAATCTATTTTCCAAAGCACCAAGAGGCACAACAAGAAACAATGGATGGAAACTAACCAAAGAGAGAAGTAACCTAGGATTAAGGAGAAATTTCCTCAGGGTGAGACCAATCAACCAATGGAATAGCTTGTCTTCAGAAGTTGTGGGTGCTCCATCACTAGAGGCTTTCAAAAAGAGTGAGGAAAGTACATCCCAAA